CTGAAAGTTATTGTTAATAGTAACGTTATCCCTACAGACAAAAATCAGAAGATACAATTGACGATTTACTATAAAACCAAAAAAACGGCCAACCTACTCATGAAAAACTCTCCAGACACAAAGCAGAACGCTTTAAAAGAGACCAACGTCGTCTATGCCTTCAAATGCCCACTTGGGGACTGTAAGCCTAAAAGAACTCAGTATATAGGCAAGACAACAACATCTCATTCCAGGCAATTAATAATGCATAAGCAACAGAGCACCATTAAGGAACATATAATCTCTTCCCACAACCAGACCATCACCAGAGAAGTCTTAACAAATAACACAGAAATCATTGATAGATACAGTGATAGCCGGGGGCTTGACATCTGTGAGGCACTACACATTAAGAAATCAACACCAGCAATCAACAGCCAATTAATGCACAACTATATTCTATCCACTTCAAGACTCCGCTCCAATATAGAAGCTTCAAGAGGAAATATGGGCCAACAGGCAATTTGCAGTTACTTCCATTCTTCCCTTTCATCTATACCAGGGGTCTCCAAACTGATGTGGCCAGCGGGCCACATCCGGCCCGCCACATAATTTCATCCGGCCCTCCAAACAAATCCCTGTGTGGTGGCCTTGAAAAAATAATTATCGTACGAATGGCATCGCAGAATTATTCAAAGCTGGGGCTGCTGACTGGTGGCGCTCAACCCGAGTCAGTTTTCCTCTCTCTCGATAGTGTGACGCACAGATACTAATACTGGTAGGTATGTGTTGTGCATTACAACCAATCAGTTGTGTATAACTGTATATTGTGGGGATGGAGGGCGAGTGGGGCTTCGCTGCTTCCGTTTCAGGGAGCACAAACACTTTACAATATTCTTTTCTCTGTACTTTGACAATGCCTTTATCTTAGTTATACAAAATAGCAATAATACTATTGTAGCCAAAAATATTGCATGTTTAAAATAGTTAAAATGGTAACCATTAAGTTTATCAACGAAAGCTGTTGCCATAATATTTACCACTTTATAATAATATGCAATGCTTTTTGACACCACATACAAGCTGTTTTTTTCCTGTAGAATTTATTTCATTTATTTTACCCTTATGTTTTCAGATATGGAAAAGATAAAGAAAAGAAAAGTGGACAGTGAGTGCCGTCGGTTCAATGACGAATGGAAGATAAAGTACTTTTTTGTGATAGCAAATGATAAAGCTTTATGCATAATATCTAGAGACAGTGTTGCTGTTCTGAAAGAATACAATATTCGTCGGCACTATGAATCTAAACATGGCTCAAGTTATTCTCACATCACAGGAGCAGAACGCACTAAAAAGTTTGAATCATTTCAGCACAGTCTGCATTCTCAACAAGCTGTTTTCAGTAAGAAAAAATCTGAAAATGAAAATTCAACTAGAGCCAGTTACAAAGTTGCCTATGTGTTGGCTAAAAAAGGAAAACCTTTCACTGATGGTAGTATCATAAAAGAGTGTATAGTGGAAGCAGCAGGAGAGGTATGTCCAGAAAAGTAAACCTCTTCAAAATGATAAGTCTTGGGTCAAATACTGTTGCTCGTAGAATTGAAGATTTAGGAGGCGACATAATTCGGCAAATAAAGGAAAAAACAAAAAGATTTTGTTGGTATTCTCTTGCGTTGGATGAATCAACTGATGTGTGTGATACTTTTCAGCTCTTAGTATTCATTCGTGGTGTTGATAGTGAATTTAATGTGAGCCAAGAATTAGCATCAGTTCACAGCATGCACACCACAACAACTGGAGAGGACATTTTCAATGAAGTAAGTAAAACTATGACAGAATATAACCTGGAATGGAAACAAGTGCAGTGTGTGACAATTGATGGAGGAAAGAATATGTCTGGGACACAGAAGGGTTTGGTTGGGCAATTTACAACAGCTTGTGAGGTTGGAGGATTCTCAAAACCCATTTTTCTGCATTGCCTTATCCATCAACAAGCATTGTGCCTAAAATATGTTGATATGTCTTGTGTCATGAAACCTGTTGTTTCTGTGGTTAATTTCATTAGATCTCATGCACTCAACCATCGCCAGTTCCGTGATTTCTTGAAAGAAATTGATGCGGAGTTTGTTAACTTGCCTTATTATACAGCAGTTAGATGGCTTAGTTGTGGAAAGGTTTTGCTGCATTTCTTTGAGCTCAGATTAGAAATTGATTTATTTCTCACAGAGAAAAATAAACCTCAGCCATTATTATCAGAATGTGAATGGATTTGGAAATTGGCATTTTTTGCAGATATGACAGGTCATATGAATAACTTGAATCTGAAATTGCAAGGCAAAACAAATTTGATCAGTGACTACTTTGTTCATGTCAAGGCATTCAGAGCAAAACTTGCGCTACTTGAAGGCCAGGTGAAGGTTAAGAATTTTGCTCATTTTCCATGTTGTGAAAAATTTCATGCAGAAAGTAAAGTTGAATTTCCTTTTTCATTTGCAAATGAAATAATTTCAGATTTTAAAAAACAGTTTCAGAAGCGATTTGCTGACCTTGATGCCAAAGCAAATGAAATCAGGCTCTTTCATAATCCATTTGACTGCAATGCTGAAAATCTTCCAACTCAATTTCAAATGGAAATTATTGATCTCCAGGCAGATGACAGACTGAAAGATAAGTATAGAGAAGGAAATCTGATTGAGTTTTATAAATGCCTGCAGCCAGATCAGTTTCCAAATTTGATAAAGTTTGCTTGTAGTTTTGTGTCCATTTTTGGTTCAACATACTTGTGTGAACAAACTTTTTCCAAAATGAAGTATATGAAATCTAACTATCGAGCAAATTTGTCTGATGATCACTTGAAATCAATTCTTACAATTGGCTCATCTAATCTGGAACCTGATTTTAATGAAATTTTGAAGTCAAAACGACAATATCATTCGTCACACTAATTTGGTTGCATAAAACTAAAGGCAGGAATCTATTTAGTTTACCCTGATTTTTTCCAAAAAGATACGTTTTAATTTTTCCATGTTTATACTTTAATATTTGAGGAAATTAAATTACTGGCACTGATTTGTTTTTTGTTTTTTTTTCATTTTTAATTCCTCCGGCCCGCATAAATATGGGAAATATATAATGTGGCGCTTACATTGACAAGTTTGGAGACCCCTGATCTATACCAATTGAACCGTGTTCTTTCTTGTGTTGAAAGTTTGTTCACCTCATCCAAAACTGTTGTAACATTTCACCTCACCCAAATGCAAGTATATAAGATAAAAGCTGTTTAAATATTAGCATAGTAAAATTCTGTTTAGTGTTTGCATGTTATAGTTGTGTGTGTGTAAACTAAAGTCATTGAAAATGGAATTAATTATTACAAAACGCGTTCAAGTGTCGCGTCAGACTAGAAATTAAAATGAATTTTGGAGAATTGATTTTTCATTTACCATCAACAGTAAAAAGAAACATAAGAAATATTGAGAAAATTCGTGTTGGAATTATCAATCTTTCTTTTTCGGTCATATTTAACAACATATGTTTACAAGAAAGACTGCAACCAAAATATACTAACATATTGGTTTGTAAGCATAATAGACATGCGATAGCTGAAGTATTTAAATCACAGGCTATAGATACATATGAATGAGTTTTGGTTAAATACAAACAGAAGCTGCTTTATTTGGGCTAATAGGCTTCCTACAGGTCCCTGTATTGTTATGTTCTATGTTCATAGGCAATAATGAAAAAATTGCTGATGACACTATATTAGGCACCAAAGTAACAACAGGTTTTAAGCGACAGATTGCAAGCTGGCCTATTAAATGTGCACTAAACTACTAAAAAAAAAAAAACTAAACAAAAGGGAACGATAATAACTAAGTTGCTAAATAACTTGATGCCTGGCAAGCACCGAACAGAGGCTGCAAGGAAAGTCATTGATTTCGGAGATTTATTTACAGATCTTTCATATTTCGATCGGAAAATGTCAGACATCCTATCTATTACTCATTAGTGCTTCATGTTCTCGAGTATTGCATTCAGGTCTAGTCACTGAACTTGAGAAAAGATATTGACAAACTGAAAAAAATTCGGTGTCGAGCAACGAAGGTGATATACTAAGAAATATGGCATACAAAAAGTCTAAAGAACTCATGTTATAAAGTCATAAAGCAAGAAGAATGCCAAATTATTTAATTAAAGTTTATAAATCATCAGAGGACATTATAATTTTAAATATTAAAAAATTTTAATTTCCCCACAAGCAAATATGCAGGAAATGTTTAAAATATTACCGGAAAATAAGATCACAGTAAATAGGCTAAAACATTTTAATCGAGTGTTATACATAGATAATATTCTCTTAGCAGATATAATACAGTACAGTGCAGTAAAAACATTTAGGCTTAGATAAAACAAGTACTTTTGAAAAATGTTGACTAAATTACACACTAGAAATTTAACAGACGACGACGTTTTGGTCCGTCCAGGACCATTATCAAGTCGATTCTCACAATAGACTTCATAAAGGTCCCGGACGGACCGAAATGTCGTCGTCTCTTCAATTTCTAGTGAGTGATATGGTCAACATTTTTCAGCCACATTATTATAACTTTTCATCTGCAAGCACTTCTGAAATCTGCGTCTCCATATTTATAATTTAATGAGCTTTCCGTAAGCAAACAGCCTCGTATGAACTGAGCAATTACATTATAGTGATGTATCAACGAGCCGATAAGTAGGAGCCGACTCCTACGGATTTGCTCATTAATGCATCACCATAGAGTGATTGCTCAGGCCGTCCTCATAAGGCTTCCCAACGTCAAGAAAACGGTCAAATTAAGATAACTCTGTGTATTAAAGGACGAGCTTCAGAGGTAGAACATTCCTAGAACACAGAGCCAGAGTCATGGGGGGGGGGGGGGGGATTGTGTGAAACTCTGGTACGTGTGGAAGTCTCTGGCTTCAGTGGAAGCCTCAGGAATCCTAGAGGATGCAGTAGTACCAAAGGTCGTAATCCTTTTACCATGTCATGGCATAGTTGTCTAAAGCGTGTGCGTGAGAAGACCCTGCGCCAAGGTTCGAACACTCCCAGCCCTCGGTGTTCCCAGCCCTCGGTGTTCCCAGCCCTCGGTGTTCCCAACCCTCGGTGTTCCCAGCCCTCGGTGTTTCCAGCCCTCGGTGTTTCCAGCCCTCGGTGTTCCCAGCCCTCGGTGTTCCCAGCCCTCGGTGTTCCCAACCCTCGGTGTTCCCAGTCCTCGGTGTTCCCAACCCTCGGTGTTCCCAGCCCTCGGTGTTCCCAGCCCTCGGTGTTCCCAACCCTCGGTGTTCCCAGCCCTCGGTGTTCCCAGCCCTCGGTGTTCCCAGCCCTCGGTGTTCCCAGCCCTCGGTGTTCCCAGCCCTCGGTGTTCCCAGCCCTCGGTGTTCCCAGCCCTCGGTGTTCCCAGCCCTCGGTGTTCCCAGCCCTCGGTGTTCCCAGCCCTCGGTGTTCCCAGCCCTCGGTGTTCCCAGCCCTCGGTGTTCCCAGCCCTCGGTGTTCCCAGCCCTCGGTGTTCCCAGCCCTCGATGAAGATCAACAGACGAGTTCAACAGTAACTCCCACATTTCGGTCGACCTACAGCAACAATGGAACACTGTAACTGTCAGCTGATGTTGCAGTGTTGCGGTCGACATGGCCCGAGCACAATGCATCATCTGGAACGTTGCAACATGTCAGAAGCTTTCAGCAGTTGTAACTGTTGTTGTCGTCGCCACCAAGTCATCGGTGTAACTGTGTCGCCTTCCCAGCACGAGAGGCAAAAGCTTCACCAGGGGCTTACACTTGACAGCTTCCACTGCTCTGTGCTCGCCTGGACCCCGGTCTATCTGGCCAAGTGGTGCCTTACACTTGACAGCTTCCACTGCTCTGTGCTCGCCTGGACCCCGGTCTAGCTGGTCAAGTGGTGCCTTACACTTGACAGCTTCCACTGCTCTGTGCTCGCCTGGACCCCGGTCTATCTGGCCAAGTGGTGCCTTACACTTGACAGCTTCCACTGCTCTGTGCTCGCCTGGACCCCGGCCTATCTGGCCAAGTGGTGCCTTACACTTGACAGCTTCCACTGCACTGTGCTCGCCTGGACCCCGGTCTATCTGGCCAAGTGGTGCCTTACACTTGACAGCTTCCACTGCTCTGTGCTCGCCTGGACCCGGTCTATCTGGCCAAGTGGTGCCTTACACTTGACAGCTTCCACTGCACTGTGCTCGCCTGGACCCGGTCTATCTGGCCAAGTGGTGCCTTACACTTGACAGCTTCCACTGCTCTGTGCTCGCCTGGACCCGGTCTATCTGGCCAAGTGGTGCCTTACACTTGACAGCTTCCACTGCACTGTGCTCGCCTGGACCCGGTCTATCTGGCCAAGTGGTGCCTTACACTTGACAGCTTCCACTGCTCTGTGCTCGCCTGGACCCGGTCTATCTGGCCAAGTGGTGCCTTACACTTGACAGCTTCCACTGCTCTGTGCTCGCCTGGACCCCGGCCTAGCTGGCCAAGTGGTAAATCGGACTCTGCTCATGAAATCCCAGAATGATGCATGCTTGGGGAGACACGAATGGCAGTGTCACGGGTGACAAGAGTTTAATTAGAAATGTGATGAAATGTGCATGTGATGTCTCCTTGGCCGGAGCCGGTCGGCCGAGCGGACAGCACACTGAACTTGTGATCCTATGGTCCTGGGTTCGATCCCGGGCGCCGGCGAGAAACAAAGGGTAAAGTTTCTTTCACCCTATGCCCCTGTTACCTAGCAGTAAAATAGGTACCTGGGTGTTAGTCAGCTGTCACAAGCTGCTTCCTGGGAGTGGAGGCCTGGTCGAGGACCTGGCCGCAGGGACACTAAAGCCCCGAAATCATCTCAAGATAATCTCAAGATTGGCCTGGAGAGCTTCACGGCCCGTGTGGTTATGTAGTTACTCTGTGTGCCTGCAGGAACCACCTGGTGGGTCTTGGACTACACCTCTCTTACCTTCAGTTCTATTATGAACTGATTCTCGGCCTTTTTTGTTTCTGTCATATCTACATAACACCCTTGAGCGCGCACGCACACACACACAGTGTGAATGAGCTACGAGGAGAGACTACGGGAATTAAACCTCACTTCGTTGGAAGACAGAAGTGTTAGGGGGGAACATGATCACCACATTCAAGATTCTCAAGGGAATCGACAGGGTTGATAAAGACAGACTATTTAACACAAATGACACACGCACTAGGGGACACAGGTGGAAACTGAGTGCCCAAATGAGCCACAGAGATATTAGAAAGAACTTTATTAGTATCAGAGTGGTTGACAAATGGAATGCATTAGGGAGTAATGTGGTGGAGGCTGACTCCATACACAACTTCAAATGTAGATATGATAGAGCCCAATAGGCTCAGGAACCTATACACCTGTTGATTGACGGTTGAGAGGCGGGACCAAAGAGCCAGAGCTCAACCCCCGCAAGCGCAACTAGGTGAGTACAACTAGGTAAGTACACGCACACACACACACACACACCAACAACAGTGAAAGAACAGGTATTGAAACTTAGAACAGGCGAGGACAGGTATACAGAGAATGACAGAGAGGTGTGTGAGGAACTCAACAAGAGGTTCCAGGAGGTCTTCACAATAGAACAGGGTGAGGTCACTGTGCTAGGAGAAAGGGAGGTAAACCAGGCGGCCTTGGAGGAGTTCGAAATTACGAGAGAGGAGGTCAAGAGACACCTGCTGGATCTGGATGTTAGAAAGGCGGTTGGTCCAGATGGGATCTCACCATGGGTACTGAAAGAGTGTGCAGAGGCACTTTGCTTGCCACTCTCCATAGTGTATAGTAAATCACTAGAGACGGGAGACCTACCAGAAATATGGAAGACAGCGAATGTGGTCCCAATATACAAAAAGGGCGACAGACAAGAGGCACTGAACTACAGGCCAGTGTCCTTGACTTGTATACCATGCAAGGTGATGGAGAAGATCGTGAGAAAAAACCTGGTAACACATCTGGAGAGAAGGGACTTCGTGACAAATCGCCAACATGGATTCAGGGAGGGTAAATCTTGCCTTACAGGCTTGATAGAATTCTACGATCAGGTGACACAGATTAAGCAAGAAAGAGAGGGCTGGGCGGACTGCATTTTCTTGGATTGTCGGAAAGCCTTTGACACAGTACCGCATAAGAGGCTGGTACATAAGCTGGAGAGACAGGCAGGTGTAGCTGGTAAGGTGCTCCAGTGGATAAGGGAGTATCTAAGCAATAGGAAGCAGAGAGTTACGGTGAGGGGTGAGACCTCCGATTGGCGTGAAGTCACCAGTGGAGTCCCACAGGGCTCTGTACTCGGTCCTATCTTGTTTCTGATATATGTAAATGATCTCCCGGAGGGTATCGATTCATTTCTCTCAATGTTTGCGGACGATGCTAAAATTATGAGAAGGATTAAAACAGAAGAGGACTGTTTGAGGCTTCAAGAAGACCTAGACAAGCTGAAGGAATGGTCGAACAAATGGTTGTTAGAGTTTAACCCAACCAAATGTAATGTAATGAAGATAGGTGTAGGGAGCAGGAGGCCAGATACAAGGTATCATTTGGGAGAGGAAATTCTTCAGGAGTCAGAGAAGGAAAAAGACTTGGGGGTTGATATCACGCCAGACCTGTCTCCTGCAGCACATATCAAGCGGATAACATCAGCGGCATATGCCAGGCTGGCCAACATACGAACGGCATTCAGAAACTTGTGTAAAGAATCATTCAGAACTTTGTATACCACATATGTCAGGCCAATCCTGGAGTATGCAGCCCCAGCATGGAGTCCATATCTAGTCAAGGATAAGACTAAACTGGAAAAGGTTCAAAGGTTTGCCACAAGACTAGTACCCGAGCTGAGAGGTATGAGCTACGAGGAGAGACTACGGGAATTAAACCTCACTTCGCTGGAAGACAGAAGAGTTAGGGGGGACATGATCACCACATTCAAGATTCTGAAGGGGATTGATAGGGTAGATAAAGACAGTCTATTTAACACAAGGGGAACACGCACAAGGGGACACAGGTGGAAACTGAGTGCCCAAATGAGCCACAGAGATATTAGAAAGAACTTTTTTAGTGTCAGAGTGGTTGACAAATGGAATGCATTAGGGGGTGATGTGGTGGAGGCTGACTCCATACACAGTTTCAAGTGTAGATATGACAGAGCCCGATAGGCTCAGGAATCTGTACACCTGTTGATTGACGGTTGAGAGGCGGGACCAAAGAGCCAGAGCTCAACCCCCGCAAACACAACTAGGTGAGTACAACTAGGTGAGTACACACACACACACACACACACACACACACACACACACACACACACACACACACACACACATGGAGTCCATATCTAGTCAAGGATAAGACTAAACTGGAAAAGGTTCAAAGGTTTGCCACCAGACTAGTACCCGAGCTGTGAGGTATGAGCTACGAGGAGAGACTACGAGAATTAAACCTCACTTCGCTGGAAGACAGAAGAGTTAGGGGGGACATGATCACCACATTCAAGACTCTCAAGGGAATTGATAGGGTAGATAAAGACAGGCTATTTAACACAAGGGGCACAAGCACTAGGGGACACAGGTTGAAATTGAGTGCCCAATGAGCTATAGAGACTTTAGAATTTTTTTTGTCAATGTCAGCGTAGTAGAAAAGTGGAATGCACTAGGTAATGATGTGGGGGAGGCTGACTCCATACACAGTTTAAGTGTAAATATGACAAAGCCCATTAGGCTCAGGAACCTGTTAACCAACTGATTGACAGTTGAGAGGCGGACCAAGGAGCCAGAGTTCAACCCCCGCAAGCACAACTAGGTAAGTACAACTAGGTAAGTACACACACACATAAAATGGGGCCTTGCTTTATAGGGCTAAGTGGTTGAGTAGACAGCGCTCTAAGATTGTAGTCTTAAGGGCGCGGGGTGGATCCCCGGCAGAGGCAGAAACAAATAGGTATAAGGCAGACATTCTTTCACCCTGATGCGCCTGTTCACCTAGTAGTAAATAGGTACCTGGGAGTTAGACAGCTCCTACGGGCTGCTTTCTGGCGATGTGTGAGTGTGTTTGAGAGAGAAATATGTAATCTAAAAACTAAAAGCTCGATTCTGCAGATAAAATAGAAAATAAACACACATACACACACACACACACACACACACACACACACACACACACACACACACACACACACACACACACACACACACACACACACACACATGGGCCTCGTAGCCTGGTAGGGACCTCGTAGCCTGGTTAGGGGCCTGGTAGCCTGGTGGATAGCGCGCAGGGCTCGTAATTCTGTGACGCGGGTTCGATTCCCGCACGAGACAAAAACAAATTGGCAAAGTTTCTTTCACCTTGAATGCCCCTGTTACCTAGCAGTAAATAGGTACCTGGGAGTTAGTCAGCTATCACGGGCTGCTTCCTGGGGTGGGGTGGAAAACAAAAGTAGGTAGTAAACAGTTGATTGACAGTTGAGAGGCGGGCTGAAAGAGCAAAGCTCAACCCCGGCAAACACAACTAGGTATATATATATATATATATATATATATATATATATATATATATATATATATATATATATATATATATATATA